TCCAAGCACTGGTATTTAAAGTATTGATAGTCAAAGTATCAAGATTCGAAGCATTGGAATTCTAAGTACTGGTATTCCAAGTATTGATAGTCAAAGTATTAAGATTCAAAGCACTGGAATTCAAAGTACTAATATTCAAAGCATTGGCGTTCAAAGTATTAACATTCAAAGTACTGGTATTCAAAGTATTGATATTCAAAGCACTGATTTTCAAAGCATGAACATTCAAAGCACTGGTGTTCAAAGCATGAACATTCAAAGCACTGGTATTCAAGTATGAATATTTAAATGCTGGTACTTGAGTGTTCTCCAGGCACAGAAGATTCCTGGTTCCCCCCTAAATGCCAATAAAACAATTAAAGCATCTTGAAATAGAGGGATGAGGGGTCTCATTTCCTGCAAGTCCCCATTTCGACGAAGAGAGCATCGCCACTTCGACGTTATACGGAAGACAGAGGTTCGGCGATGCGAGGAGTGAACACTTTCCATTCATCGTTTCCCTCTTAGGAGAAGGAAATTAGGTCTCCCGACGTCGTTCCGGTGCTTGTCCGCGAGAAAAGCCGATTACCAGCTGTAATCGTCTAGCACGAACGATAAAGAAGCCCGAACAGTCGAATCATCGCTTCCCAGCGCTCTTTCTTTCTCTTCGTTTTCGTCAATCGCGATAGACGATGCTCCGTGACGCTTCGGTTCCTTTCAATTCCCGTTCACCGTGTCTCTCTCGGTTCTTTCTTTTTTTTTTTTTCAGCGATAATCTAATTACGTGCTGGGTAATCGAACGTCTCCCCTAACGAAACTGACGGCGTGCTATTGCCGTCCCATCCCGACCGTTTCACTTCTTGCCCTTTACGACGACTGTTCCCAGCGTTCTCTCGATGAATTTGAATCGAGCGTTAAGTTGGCTTCAGCCAGAGGTGGAGAACGAGTGCTCTTGTAAGGCGGCGTTGGCACCACTGTTTATTGAAAGTGCGATCGTCGAGGAGGGCAAACGGACAAAGGCTTTGCGCATTCGTTTCACGTCCTCTTTGATGGTATTGATAGGTAAGAGGACGCCCATGGGGACATGCTTGAATCGCGCGGAAGCATTTTGAAAACTGACGAAGTACTCGAGTACCGTACAAATATATTAGTACGCTTAGTATTAATATACTTTGTGGGACTTGTAAATAGTAGTACTAAGCGTTGGAGTGGATCTCATCACAAGTGGACGACGGTTTGAGTACCAATACTCGAGTATTTGTTACTTGGGTACTTTGGTACTGGTGAAGCATTGACTTCAAAGTACTGGTACTCACGTGCTGATATTCAAAGCACAGATATTCAAAGTACTGGTATTCAAAGTATT